GTGAAGTCAGCGCCCAGGAGCCTGACCGGGGAGAGTGGTGTAAGGAGGCTGCTGTTTGCAGGGGTTAAGGTGGGGATCTAGGAGACTCCGAGGGACAGTGGAACTACTGTGCTCACAGCAGAGAGCATGGGGAGTCATGGAGTTCCTGTGCAACAGAGCTGAGAGCCAGGGACGTGGCTGGGGCTGGAGAACGAGATGGGGCCCACGCATCACCTACTGCTCTGGGGTACCGGACAGCTGCACCCACTGGAAGCTGAGGGCAGGGGTATGGGCAATGCAGGTCCACACCGTTCAGCCTGTGGAGAGGTGTGCAGGAGGGCAGCCACAGCACCCAGTACCCTGCACTGCTGATTACCTAGCACAGAGCACCCAGCACTTTGCCCTGCTGAGTACCCAGCATGTGTTGGGAGCCACTGGAGCTGGATGTTGGGTCATATGTCTGTGGGCAGGAAGAGCCAGAGTGCCTCAAGCAGTCGAGCTACCTCAGTATTGAAAAAAACATCCTGCCTAGACAATTACAGTCATTAGTCACTAGGCAACATTACCTCTCCAGATACTAACTTTGCAAGCGTATAAAATACACGCTCCTACTGTTGAAGTCAGTCCTCTTCCCCATCAGGTAAGAGGTAACTCCACCTGGCCCCGGCTGTTGTCCTTTGTATTTATCTTCTAAATCCTCTTGCCATTTTCTCCTGGGGGACCATCGAAAGAAGACAGAGTCCTACAAGCACAGAGCACTTGGCACCCTCCATTGCCCACTACCTAGCACCACGCACCTGGCCCCCTCCCCCGCAGAGTACCCAGCAGGGAGCACCTGGCCAGGCACACAGCAGTGCAGAGCTCCTAACACACTGTTTCCATGGAAACAGCATCAATCTAAAGATTGCTGCCCGCCTGGATGGGAGATTCGGGAGATCAAGGCAGGGTGGAGAGGAGGACCGACCCGGCTGGCCCAGGAGCAGCGGGAAGGGAGCTGGGCTGGGGCTCTGGTCAGTCACACAGGATTTCTTCGCTGCTGAGATGCCATGCAGAGTGCAAGCCTTGTTTCTGCTGTGCCCTGGTGGTGTAGCTCCTTGCAGGTTCCGACCATCTGTGACAAGGTGTCTTCACCCAATTTGCAGCTCTGCAGGTTTGGGGAGGAGCAGCACAGAACAGATGGCCTGCTGGGTCCATGCCAGATGTGCCTGGCATCACTATGACCTCAGCCAGCAGCAGCAGAGGAGCCCACCCTGGGGCCACCACTCACACCTTCCTTGTAGAGCAGCCTGTGGGCAGCATGGGTGACACTGGTGACCATGCCCAGCCTTGCGAGTGGCTGAAGCATGTTCAGACCTCCTCATGTCTCCCCTGGCCACTCCAGAGATGTGCTAACCTCCTGTGACAGAGGGCAGCACTGGCTAGGGCAGAGGTTCCCAGGGCCAGGATGGTGACACAGGTCTTTGGCTGGGATTGCAGAGTTTTGGCTGCTTGGAAGGGCTCACCTGCCAGAGACAACCCCTTCTGACCGTATTTCCCCCCAAGCAGCAGGCTAAAGCATCTGAGCAGCTCTCATGTGACGTCCCCAAGTCAGCTGACATCCTCGGAACTCTACCACGAGTGGCCCTGGGTATATCAGCCAGGCCTGGGCCTAGAGCTCATTTCCTTGTGCGGTACCAGTTCTTCTGACAGTGAAATATTATGCTGTTTCCCCACAGCTCTGATAAGAAAAGACGCTTTCCACAGAGAAACATTCAGAGAATGGATAATTATAATTATGGATAATTAATGCTTTCACCAGGTAATGTGACCCCAAAAGCCTTCCGCTTGAGAGACTTTCGACTTTTATTGCTGAGAATAAAAGTGTGCTTGGATATGTACAACCTAGTATTTGAATTGTTCATGCATTATTCTAGATACTGTCAGAAATTTTCCCACTTAAATTATAAAAATGAGACTGAACAAAGCCATGTAACATTCATATGATGTCATGATTATGCTGCAACAGATTCACAGATTCCAAGGTGTGAACCAGCCGCTTTCTGCTTTCTGTTTCATGTTGAAATGCACTTTACTCCACTTCTGCAGGATGCAGGCTACCAAAGTGACCCAAATGATCTTATTTAAATTGTAAACAACTTCAAATAAGCAAGGACTTAAAGATTTTACTCTTAAGAGGTGAAAAAGAGGAGAGATCATAGAATAAAACTATTTCACTCATACATTTTAATTCATATAGTCATCACCTATAAAAGCTTATTTTTCTTTTCAAGACATTAAATCTCTTTTCTGTGCAAGGCCTTTGTGATTCACGTTCCTTGCGCTGTAATAAAAACCCAGATAAAGAAATAGAATTCAGCCCAAGACAGCTGAGCAATTCATCATTCTGTGCTTCATCCCAAATTGTGTTACCCACTGAAAAAAACTACTTAATGTGTTCAGATTTTGTTCATTTGTCACTGTCCACTCCTGCATGAAATATTCAAAGGGCCTTTGAAATAATGAAATAACTGTTAGGAAAACTTTTTTATGATAGATATTATAGTCAAGATGCAAGAAATCATTTTGCATTAGATTTGAAAGCTTTAAGTAACTCATCCTGGGGAAGCAATGAAAAAAAGGTGCAATTTTTCAAGCTAAACATTCAGTTTAAACCACTGAGCCAACTTTTGAAGGAAGAATATCTAGAAGTCATAAATATTAAAATAATTTCTATAAATGTTACCTCAAATTGGCTGGTACAGAGAAATTTAAGACCCATTTCATAGTATCTATTGATCAAAATAGGTGCTAATCTGGTACATCTTGTTTTAAAAGCAAGATAAACACCTTTTACTAATAAAAATGTACTGTCGACCTGCTCAGCATGCTGGGAATTTAGAGTTAGGGATGTGTGTAGCACTTTCCTGAAGGCTTCCCACCACCGGAACACCCTTCTGCTTGTACACTCAGGGCCCAGTCTACTCCATTGTCTCCTTTCCTGTCTCCTCATGCCAACGTTTTGGTCCTTCTAGCACAGCCTAGTTTACAGCATGTGCTGGGTAGTTGTGATGGTCAGCTGGTCTGGGTCCAGAGACCCCGGAGAGGAGCCTGGCCAGTGAGGTTACCACCTTTGCCACTGGGTGGACCACTGATGTGTGCCTAGTGACATGGGCCTCGGAGGAGGAGATGGGTCATGCGGGTGACGTGAGGGTTATATGCCTCCCCAGCCCTTCCTCTCTGCCTCTTCCTCTCTGTTCTCTGATGCCGTGTGCCGAGCAGCTTTCCTTCACCATGCTCTTCCACCCTGACGTCCCTGCTGAACAGCCAGCTGACCAGGGACTGGAAGCTTTGGAACCACGAGCCAAAATAACCTCCCTCCCTTAAGTTGTGGGTCTCAGGTATTTTGTCCCAGCGACAGGAAACTGTCTGACACGCATCACTTCCCACTGCTCAGCCTCCCACTGCTGCCGTGTCCAAGGTGTGCTGCTGTTTGTTGCTGTTGCAGGGCTGTTGTGTGCACCATGGGGTGTCTGACAGCACCCCTGGGCTCCCCCCCACAGCTTCCAGTAATGTGATCATCACTCCAGAAACCAGCCAGTCCAGGTTGCTGCCACATGTCCACTGGAGGACAAAACTGCTGCGTATAGAAGGCCCTGTTCTGCTTGGAACCACCCTGCAGGCATAAGACTTGGTTCAGAGCAGAGGAGAGTGAGCAGTGTGACAGGAGGAGTGCAGGCTAAGCCCGAGTTTCAGGGTGGGCAGAGCCCTGCTGAAGTGGTAAACACATTGCTCTCCTTCACTGAGCTCAGCTCTGTACAAGCTTAAGATGATTTCTACATCCATTCTGAATCACATTGTCCTATGTTTAAAACAGGAAAGAAAGACACTGCTTTTCTAAGACGTAGTTCTTGTTTGAACCCTGTGACTCATAAATTTCTAATGGGACCTGAAAGATCTTTAGTTAGTTAGTTTATTTCTTTGTTTCTTTTTTTCTCTCTATTTTTTTTTCTACTAGGGTATAAAATGACTCTAACTCTATTCCAGGAAGAGAACAAAGGAGGAAGAAAGTCAGGTAAAAATTGGAGTGTAGGAGAGGAAGAAAACAAAGAATAACTGAGCAAAGAACAGTAAGATTTTCCATACTTAAAAGTCCATTTACAAAAAAGTTAAATTCAAATGAAATATTTTTAAAGGAAAGTATATCTTTCAACCTGCACATAGCCAAAAGAAAGAATTAGCAGTAATTGAGTTTTTCTTACATAGAATACTACAGCTGACCTAGCAGAGACAAGGAAAAATAGAAAAGAGAAAGGGAAGTGAAAGACAATTTTTTAAAAAGAAAGGAAAAGAAAAATAAAATTTTACCGTTAGCCCTTTACTCCTAGTTTAAGGAACACAGGGAAGGGCAGGCAGCGGGCCCTCGCTCTGGGTCCTCGTCACTGGAGAGCCTCCTGCAGGGCTGCGAGCCCAGGACAGGACGGACGCCGGCGAGGGGGAGAGGAGGCGAGAGGGCCAGGGTCAGGGCCGGGCACTGAGGAGGAAGGGCCCCTCCGGCCGGGAGCCCCTCCCTAGGGCCCTGGCTGAGGGCTGATGAGTGCGCAGAGCCCCGGTGGGGCCGGAGACGCTCAGGTGTCTTACTCCTCCTTCTTTTTGAAACTATCAGGTTCACGTCCTTTTCAGTTATGATAAAGGCTAAATTTTGGTTTTGTTTTGTTTTGTGTTTTGTGTACTGGGGATGGAACCCAGAGCCTTCACACTAAGCTGCCACCCCAGTGCTTTTTATTTTTTATTTTGAGACAGGGTCTCACTAAGTCAGTACGTTGCCCAAGCTGGACTGGACTTTCAATCCTGCCTCAGCCTCCCTGAGTGCTGGGACTGCAAGGGTGCGTCACCACAGCCAGCGGATACTCTCTTAACCCTAACCCTCCGTTCTTAATGAAGTTCTAGTTTACTCCAGACTTAGTACTATTTACAGTAATTCTGAGGTGGACTTTCAGCGTGGGGAGCAGTCTACCCGGCCTCAGGTCAGGCGTGTTACTTACTCTGCGAAGTCTGCGTGTCTATGAATTTCTTCACCAAGGCATCCGTGGTCTGGGTGTAGAGACTGAGAGCGTATCTCAGAGACTGAAGATCCGGGCTCTTCTCCAAGAAATTCTTCTTCAGGCCATTTCCTCCTGCGTGGAAGTATTGCTAAAAAGAGAAGGAAGGTCATATAGGCAGTACTGGAGGAAGGACTTTGCTACTGAAGCTCACAGGCAGCACTACACAGTCAAGGTAGGTACAAGTGCACAGGCACAAAGCATCTGCTCAGAGCAAAACCGTCCTCCTCTGACCTGGTTCTCAGGAAATGAGGCCCTTGAAGACCTAAGTCCTTCCCTGTCATCCCAGCTTGGGTTATGCAAACAGGAACCTTCCAGAGTGAGCGGCCCAGGTGTCCACTGTCAGCTCGGTTACCACTCCTGTGTTCAGGGCAGAACAACACCTAGGTTTTCAGCATTTCACAGACACTAGCTTTGCAGGCACTCGTTTAAAATTCCAGCCCAGGGGCCTGCAGCTCCATCTCACCCATTCTTAAGTCACAAGGTCACACAAAGGTGCGGAAATTGATTTGCCACACTGACTTCCAGGAATCTACGGGTCTGAGAAACATAATATAGCATGCAGGCTTGGGTTTCTATTTTGTTTTTTGATATCGCCATCCAACAATCCCAAAAGATTTCAGTTTATATTTAAGGTGGAGGAGAGGCCTACGCATTGACAATGCACTTGATCATTGAGAGACATTAGCACATTACTGGCTTATGCACAAACAACCACTGGAAAGGCAGAATGCCTAGAAAGATGCACCAGAGCTGCAAGTTTCCTCTCAGCACTTGTGGAGGACAGTACATTCATAATCTTCTGGTACATGTAGACAATGGGTCTCTTTCTCTTCCTGGGCCCACAGTGCTGGAGGAAGCTGAATACTTGGTCACTGCGGCTCCGGGATCCACCATCCGCACAGAGTGGAGGGGTTCTGAAGGTGTGAATGATGATTCGGGTCCACCCATTGAATACGCGTCACCCTTGCCCCACTCTTGATGAACGAGGAACTGAAAAATCAAAATTATCTCAGTGTTCAAAGGGAGGTGCAGAGGAATAAAATGCTCCAGGCATCTGTAAGCTCCAGAGTGTTCCTTCAAAGCACTGCACTAGAGACTCAGGGTGTGACCTGGAGGGGGCACGGAAGCAGCGGTCCCGGGAGATTCTCCTCGAGGTCACCAGTTTCGTGTACTGTATGTAGCAATGGCTATGGGGGAGAGGCAAGCTGAAAGGAAAAACCTTTTCTTACTCCTTAGGAGGAAGCAAAAAAAAAATAATGTTTAAAATGGTTGCCCAATTTGTCATTCTTCTAACAATGTTAAGACATTTTCACATGCAGACAGTACTCATTGAGGACCAGGAGTCCAAAGTTGGGGCAAGTGGCTTGATGGATGAAAAAGTGAGTTCTTTTCCTCAAGAAACATACAATATATCTGAGTGGAAAAATACCAAATGGATGTATTGGGGGAGGTTTAGCCTGGTCTTAACTCTGTGTCCTCACAAGAGGGCTGGGTGCCCTCTGGTTTGCTTCCCCGGTGAACCCAGGTGCCGCCAGAGGGGAGGGCCACCCCAAGACAAGAGGGCAGCACAGGTGGAGCAGGACAGGAAAGGGGGGAGGGGGAGGAGAAGGGGGAGGGGAACCCGAGTGTGGATCTCAGGTCAGCCGGATCTTAGCTGACCTGAGCACATGTGCTGGCAGACTGTACAGGAAGGCAGAGGAGGAATGATAACTAGGCTTTTACACTTCTTAGGAGAAGTGGGCAAAAAGATTCAGTGGGTGTTCTGTGTACTGTACCCATAGTGATTTCACTTTGCATTTTCTTTGAGCTCTTTAAAGACTCTAAATGGTAGAAAATAGCCAATAATTAGGTGATTTTTGCCCATAGAAATGCAAACTGATCACTGCTGGTGGACTGTGACTGAGTGGGGCTCTGCAGATAGATCTGTCTTGCCCGTATTTGTAAGTTTATTTTAGCTTCGCTTACTGCTTACACACTTGTGGTTCTCGGGCCTCTCTGGTGTGCCAGTCCTTACATTGCGCTGGTTCCCTCGCCTGTTGATGGGTGGATATCATTCTGGCATGTTTATAATTGCACTGCTATGTTCTTTTCAAAACCGTTCCTTCACAGTGCGTATGAAGTTGCACAGGTGACAGCACCTGTGAGGGTGACCCGGCTGTTAGGGTCCAGTGGTTGAGGACAGGGCTGTAGGCCCTGGGGTCACCTGGACAGCATCAGGGACAAGGCCTGCCCTCCCACCTGCTCTCTGCTGCCTGTCAGAGCAGATGCTGATGAAACCCATGCTGTGAACCAGGCCTTGTCCTGAGCACCAACCAGGTCACAGGAAGGACTGCAGCGGATGCCGGAAGGTTAGCATCTCCTGGGAAGTACAGCTCACACGGCGCAAGTGACTAACACACACCAGACGGCGGTGGAAGCAAGCAGGTCCGTGAGCTAGGGGTCAGCGAAAGCTTCCGGATGGTGACAGCTTTCGTGCTTATTGGTCAGTGCTGCTGTCCCCACCTTCGGCAGCCTCTGGATAACGCGTCACAGTGGCCGGATGAGGACAAGTCTGCTAAGTCACATTGAGAAACCCGGTCTCAGCAGTTCGAAGGGAGAACGGGGAGACCTGAGGTCCGCACAGCCCCTTCTGATGTGGTTTCGAGAAGTGCTGTGTGCTGCTGTGGTCCTGTCTCATCACTACACTGTGCTGCCTAGAAACCCCGTCCCGGCTGGGCAGACACGGTCCAGGGCAGGTGAGGGTGCACGCTGTTCTCCAGAGGGTCACAGGGCTCATTCACATAACAAATGCCCCAGACCCTCAGTGGGAAAGAAAGCTGTCTAACTTTGTTAATATGCCTGGTTTCTAAGATTATTTGGCTACAGGACACTTGGAGACAGTGACACCTTAGGTCTGACTTTGTCCTGGGAGGAGTCCGAGGGTCTCTCTGGAGCCACAGGGCGGAACACCCAACTGACTTCCTCCTTCTGAGCCAGTCTTCCAGGTCAAGGCTCCCAGATGTCCAGCACATGCCACTGGATATCTGTCCACAGTTTGGGGGATACCGTGGAATATGACCTTGGAAACCCTAGAAAAAATATGGCTTTGAGTTTGACTTTGGAGACCCTGGAAAAGAAGAATGTGGCTGACTTCACTGAACTGAGAGATTTCTGAGGAAAGAAGGGTTTTTGGCAGGCAGGACAAGAGTTCAGCTATGAAGGCATAAATTATCTACCTATTCTTGAGCCTTCCTAGTACCTAGAGGAAGACGTATTTTCCCACTCAGCCATTATTCTGTAGGTCTCCGGGGGTGGGGGACTAACGACAAAGTGAAAACAAAAATAAGGTCTGACTTTGTCCTGGGAGGAGTCCGAGGGTCTCTCTGGAACCACAGGTCGGAACACCCAACTGACTTCCTCCTTCTGAGCCAGTCTTCCAGGTCAAGACTCCAGCGAGATATTTGGTGAATGGAGATTGGAACCCACAGAAATGATGCTTTTGTCTCTGGAGTGCATTTTATAACAGGGGAGGCAGCAAAGCAGAAACTCAGAAGAGGGGAGCAGTGTCGGAGAGCAAACAAACTAAGGTGCTAAGCACGGAAGCCGCCTGCTCGGTGGACACAGACAGCAGGAAAACGACAGCTGCAGCTCTGCAAATGCGAACTCCCAGGTGCCCGTTTACCAAGCCTGGTGCTGTGTGGAGTCGGGGGCACCTGTGCTGGCCATTACCACGCGGCCTGGAAGTCAGAGGCAGGGGCTCGGGCCCGCCTGGGCCTTGGCACCCAGGGCTCCACACCTGGCTCTGACTCTTTGCAAGGGACCCGAAGAGACGGGACAGGAGAGTTTTCATTTTGCTTGGGCTGGAGACTGTGTAGGAGGAAGTCTTCATTACCAAACACACCCCACTGCCAGAGCGCACGTGGCTCGGTTATCTCACTCCTCACAGTGAGTTACACACCAGCAGGAAATCACATGCTCAGGGGAATGTAAGTGTGGGGCTTTGAAGCTTCTGGATGCCTCCCTTATGTGTGTGGCCTCTGAACAGAAGGCCAAGGCTCAGTTTCTTACTGCTCCTCGGACCTGTAGCAGAACCCAAGACCCCTAGGGCCTTGTGTTCTGCTTGGAGGCCCCATGTGGGCAATATAAACCCAGACAGAACAGTCGGCAGGTTGCTGGTCATCTCCTTGACAGGAAGAGTGTTCTCAGTGTCTCCGGGGGAGGGTGTGGAGGAGTTGAGTGTCCAGGTCATACAGGAGGAGGGGTCCACAGGGTGCTAGGCCCTGCCCATCCTGACGTCTCGTCTCATGAGGACGAGGACAAACAAAGGCGAGAAGCTTGCTTCACAAATGTGCTGTTGAGGCAAAGCTGGAAGTTATCACCCTGCTGGCTCGTGATGTGAATCAGTCTTGGGTGTCTGGAGTGGTTGGCGAGCACATAGGGATAAATGGGCCTCTGTTCCCGAGAGACATGCGGACCACCGGGTGCAGAATGAATGAGGAGTGTCCTGGAGCGTGCAGCTGTCTTCAGGATGGAAAGTTAATGCTTGTGAAGAGTGTCCTATGCGACAGGAGCTGTGCTGTCTGTACGCGATGACTCATCGAATCCTCCCTTCCTACCCGGAAGGTAATATTGTCATGACCACCCCGCAGGTTGGGGGCCCGCCCACCGTCTTCCCTCCATCTCCCCCGGCCTCGGTCCTCCTGGGTGGTGGTGTGGTCCCCATGCAGGCGCGGACTCTGCGTGGATGTCACCCCTCTCCTGACACAGTGAGGGCTTCCACCCTTCTCATTTTAATTCACGGGTTTCTACCACATCTGAGTGGGAACTGGAAAGAGCTGTTACAAAGCAGCATTTTCTTTATCTGAAAAATAACGAGATTTTTTTCCCTGTTTCTCTTATTCTTCATGAAACTGCAGAAAATAAAGCACTTGAGACCTGGCTGTGATTTTTGAGATGAGAGAATACTGCTAGGTAAAAAATCAGGATAGATACTATCTGCATGCTTAGTGAGCCTTTCTTTCTACAATCCCAAGAAAGTTCTCGAAATTCTTACGACACTTCATGTTGTCACACACCGTGTCTTTCAGAGTCTGTTTTTACTGACTTACGGGACCACACTAATGCTTCCTCACAGGACTGCAGGAAGTCCCTTTCGGTTTTCTCTACAGTTTTGGTAACTGTTTCCCACCCTCACTCCTGCTTCCAACACTTGCATTATCCTTTCGGCAGATTCATGCAGTTAGTTCACTTTGCAAGTTTAGCTGCAAGCGCAGGCCGCCAGCAGCCACGTCTCGTTCTTAAGGGCCGGGCAGACATGGGGAAGTTTTGCTGATGGCCCTAAGTCCTCCTCTGTGCTCTGGGTCAGGGAGCCGCTCCCCGGAGCACGGTTCAGCGTTTCCCTTTGGCTGAGTCTTCCCCCGAGCTCAGCCTCAGCACCGGCTCCGGTCCCACACCCAGCACTCCCTCTCGCTCCCCACTCTGGGCACGGCAAGTCCCAGGCTGACTGGTGCCTTCCCTCGTGTGACTCCTGTCGTCCTTCTCTTCCTCCTCGAAGTCACAGATGTTCTTCTCGGGAAGATTCCCCCAGATACCCACAGAGCATTTAACACTGGATTCCTCAGCGCATCATCCGAACTTCCTTCATTTTACTGACTGTGCATGTTTTATTCCTAGGACTTCTCCTCTCCGTCTGCCTCATTACTCACTATTTCTATGTACAGTAAGCCTTCAGATGATTTTTGAATTGCAATACTGCAAATGAGGTGGTTATTTTGTTTTGCCTATGAGCTGAATTTTAAATAATGCAAAAACTTTACTTGTGACGATTTTAAAAAGATGCTGAGCAGCAGTTGCTGAAGTTGGATAACAGACCTCAGGAAGAGACCAGACCTTGGGCAGGGTGAGAAATTCAGACGCATGAGATGCAGTTCAAAACCATCTTCAGCTATTTGCCCAGAATCTGGTGTATAAGAAATGGTAAATAAGAAAGGAAAAAGTAACTTCCAAAGCTGTATTTGAATTCATGCTTAATTTACATCCTTCATACTAAGAAATGCAGATTTCTAGAGGCCTGGGACACACATGTTTGTTATTTTTAGAGGAAGCTCAGTGTGGACACTCCCTGATGTCACAGGCATCTACACCAGCTCTTGCAGCATGTGTATTCAGGTCCACATAGGGAGAGGTCTGTGGGAATTTGGAAGCAGCTATTATTATGCTGTTTATTTCAAACTTCCTCATGAAGAGCTTTGAGGATTGTTCAAGATTTAAGAATTGTCTTTAGATTCATGTTCAAGCCAGAGTAGTTGCTTCTGGGAGAAGATCTCATTTCCTATTGGAAGAAACTCACATTTCAGCACCTCCTGCACTGGCCTGAGTCTTCCTGAGCTGGTGGGCTGGGACTCCAGCTCAGGTGAGCCTCTGTCCAGCCGACTTTCCCTTGTGGAATGGTTGGCTGATTGTGTCAATGTGAGAAGTTAGAAGCTTAACTAAACTGGCTCAGTAATTCTACAACCTAGGGTGTAGACGACCCTAGAGCACCTCGTCACCTGGACAGCATAAAGGGAAAATGAAGGACAGATTGGCTTCTGTTCCTCATAGGAGCTCCAGGCTTCGACTTCGGCTCCATCTCTGGCTTCTGGCATAGACTCTTTGGCTCCCTCCTTGGACCCTTCAGCCTCCTGGCTTAGACTCGACAGCCTTCTGTCACAGGCCCATCGACCTCCTGACATGGGCTGATGGGACTCTGCAGTAAACTCCAGAGGTTGGGCTGAAACTTTCCAGTGTCCAGTGTGCAGACACCCTCTGCATGCTTCTTCACCTGACTCTGTGGCTGAGCGTTGTAAGCCAATCTTGTAATTTCTTATACATTTGTATATCTTGTTTTATATCTGTTTTTCTAGTAAAACACTAGCTGATATACCTTGTGGCCCTCTGCTTGCCTACACACACAAAAGAGGTGGCTGGACATGTGTCTCATAGCTGTCACCCTACTCCTTTTGCTTCCAAACACCACCTTTTAGCCGTTTAGTAGGTGAATGAAATGGATCCAAGTCCAGCCAGTCACGATGATGGTTCCTGTCATTTGTGCCATGGTTTACACTCCTAGTTTAGAACCGGAACTCTGTGGGGGTGCAGCCCAGTTACATTTTATTGTCTCAGAGATTTAGTATTTTCATCAGTACTTGTATAGAGATGGGAAGACTTTAAGTTGTTTTTCAATAAATAGAGAATAATTGAAGTAATACAAATTTTCTGATGCAGTTGAATTCATTTTGGCCTGTGATATATCACTGTTTCTTTGTAAATGCTTAGTAGAATAATGAGGAGTGAGAATGGCTTCAGAGTCAGGGGTCCTTCTCAGCTCTGCAAATGACTAACAGCACTGTGGTCATGGACAAAGCCTAAGTATCCTCGCCTCCAGCTTTCCTGTCTGTTAAATGCCGACAATCGCTTTGTCCTATCTCACATGCAGGTGCTAGCAGGGATTTGGAGAGAGGATGCAGACGGAGAAGGATGTGACGTGTGCACAGGCCCTTGTGCCTGTGTTCTACAAACACCAGAGCACTCTCCTGCACGTCTCTCTATCTCAGTCCTCACCTGTTTGGCTAATTGAACTAACGAGGACTTGGCCGCGTGGCACGGGCTGCTTTGGTCTCAGAGGTCTTTCCTTCTCAGAAGGGGTCTGCTCAGATGACAGTGCTCTCCTCGTAGCGTGGGTGCCAGGCAGACTCTGAGTCTCCAGCACTTGGCAGATGACTCTCCTAAGGAATGCTCCTCCTCTGGAAGTCACCTCCGGAATTCTTGCGTGGTCAGACAGCCATGATCGTGGGGCACATTGTGAGGCAGACAAGCTGAAGGGAGCCTGGGCTTTCCCAAACCAACCACAGGGGCCGTAGAATGCAGATGTCAGATAGCAACCCCAGCAGAGAGGCAGGCCATGGCATCAAGTAGTCACCCAGCAGACAGACCATCCCAACGGAGGTCCCTGAAAGCAGTGGCACCCTAGAAATGAGGCGTGATGGGGCCAGGGACCTGACCACAGGCTCATGAAGACCAGCATCAGATCCCACTCTGGAAGAGCAGGCCATGATGAGGACCTACGTACTGGACCTTGAACACAAGGTACAGGGACCCTCCAGTTACAATGGGCCTGGCATATGAACAACTTGGGTTACGACTGGAATTTTAGTTTTAACTTACGACCAAAATCTTGAGTCATGACTCAGATGCTGGCTGCTTGCGCTTTCAGAGCCCTCAGATACAGATTTAAACCTGAAAGAGTTCTGGAAGGAACATTACGACATCATTTCCCATGTGGGGTTAATTGAGAAATCCTGGTTCACGTCTCTCAGGACACTGAGATCCACCTGTGTACAGGAGGGAGCCTCTGAAGGCCACGCAGTGGAGCCTGAGCCTTGAATCAACAGCATGAGTTACTCAGCCCTCGGGAACAAATGAGCTCCTAAGTCAGGGTCCACTGTAGTAGTTTTGCCCCCAGAGAACAGGGCAAGAGTTTGGTGGTGGGGAGTGGGTTGAGAGTTTTCACAGATGACCTAGCAGGAATGCAGGGTCTTTGAGTGGCCAAGGTGCGACCAGAGGGATTTGCTCAGGATCAGGTCTTCCGCTGCCTCAGGCCTGGGGGCCGCAGGCTGGGCAGTGGGCTCCTGGCCTCACAGGGATCCTCAGGGAAGCATTGGGCTGAGTAGGGGCACTGGCTCCTCTCCTGTTTGCACAGAGCACAGCCCCTTCCCATCCAAAAGCCTCACACTGTCCTCGTGACATCCCCTCAAGGCTGTGCTCAGTTTGTAACTTTCACCTTACTTTCCTCCTCAGAGGACACTAAGCAGCTTTTATTTTCTGCACCAACGCTTTCCTAGACGTAGCCATTGCTGCTCCAAACATCAGGCCATTCTTACTCAAATATTTCAAAATAACTTTCAGGAAGAATCAGTTTCAAACTTTCCCTGTATTTTTGTCTTCCATGTTTTCCTCAAAATTATTTTGCTAAATCGCTACATTTTCAGACAAAGAATCCGTGGGCTCCTTCTGCACTTGATCTCTGCCCCACCCCCAGAACCTCGTGTCTTCACCTGTGGTTTCAGCCCTGAGGCAGCAGAAGACTCAAGCCTCAGCGCAAACGCTGAAACTATAAAGCAAAGTCTGCGGTGATGGTTCCGGGAAGGTGTGGAGCCGGGTTTGATGGTGCAGTAAAGCTCTGCTCCTCTCTGTGGGACCATTCTCCCTCTTCCAGTGACCCCAGGCACCTCACAGGTCTCTGCTGCCCCGGCCTCTCCAGAGAGGCATGGCCTGGGCCATGTAGGCAAACCCATGCTTCTAACTGTAAGCTTTCACATATAAATATGAACTACTTGCAGACAAAAGGAATTGTCTGGAGCAGAGTTGTGACACCACCTTGAGACTGCACACATTCAGCTCACATGCCGCTAGCTTTTGGTCAACTTCTGGCTCTGAGAACTCAGTACCCGTAACACATGGCCTTTGATTTTCAACAGAAAATAAAATCAACCTATCGTCTTACTGAGAGAGTAAAAGGTGCTATTTTAAAAATTCATTTCAACTAGCATAGAAAGCAGAAAAGCAGACTCTGCTAACCTAAAGCCTCCTTGAGCCATCTGTTTAACCAGGTTTTGGAGATGTTTGTCTGTCTTTGAAACCTAAGTTACAACAGAAGCGTTACGTGCATTTTCAGGGACGAAGGGCACAGGCATAAGAGTGCGTGCCCTGGGTGTGAGGAGGGGACCAGGCGTCTCCTTCTCCCACACTTGGAAGGACACTTTGGCTCCCTCCGGTGGCCTTGGGGCTTGGGGGCTCTGGCCGAGTGTGAGGGCGTGCAGACTCACCTTGACGGTGGCCAGCACTTCCTCCATGATGGCGCACTGCCTGGGCGTCAGGCCCCGGGCGTCCTCACGAGTCATGTGCTCCTGGAAAACGGGTTTGTTCATTTAGTCAGCGCTTTCACACAGGAGCTGTCAACTTCCCGCACGCCAAGGTCTCCCGCTTGAAACACCTTTGAACTGGTGTGCTTGTTAATGAACATTTTGCTATATAGTTATAAATATCCATTTTGCCAAAGGAAGAAGCGCTAAATACCTACATGAAAAAAGCACTGCTTTTCCCAGAGAGGTGACTTTATTTTCACTGAGAGTTACTGTTGGAAAAGTAGGGGATGAAACCTAAAGTGTGTGTCAAAGCCTTTCCATGCTGGGGTCTCCCGGAGGGAGGCGCTCAGTGCATGTCAGCCTTCCTGGGGTCCCCGCAGTCCACCGCAGACACAGCGCCTCTCCTCAGTCTCCCGGGAAGAGCCCCAACTATCAGCTGGGTTTGGCTGTGGGGAGTTTCAATGTCTTACAAGCATTTTAGTAGTTTACCACAGACTTCATTACTTTACAATGGATTTTTTTCATTGTTCACTGTCTCAACCCATCATTCACGGCTTATTTAAAGAAGTGATGGTATGAAGTTGGAGAAAATAATGAACAGGGAAAAGCCAAACTCTTCCTGACTCTCCCACCCTGGGACTGCCCCATTCTGCTCCATGACAGGCACCGTGCGTGTGCTGGGCATGGAGCATGGGCCCTGCCGCCCCGGGTGAGCCTCTCTGTGCAGGGTGCAGAGCTCCTGTCCTGCCCTGGCCTCTGCCCCACCCTCTTCTCTTCCACAGTTAGTGAGCATCCCACCCGCTCCTCCATCCTCCAAGGTCTAGGCGTACAGTGGTGGTGGCTGAGTGGGGACTCTTCAGCGAACCCCAAGAGCTCCCATGAGGCATCGGAGCCACTGTCTTTGGACACTGTTGAAAACGTGCTGTCCGCATCACGGCTGAAGGTGTACCTTCCTCTGATGCAGGAGCTTCAGCTCCAGTGTGGGAGATCATTTAATGTCTCCTGAACTGCAGTGCTCAGTGCCTTTGACACTCAAGGAGCATGGGAGAGGGGAATGTCGGAGGACCAGTAAATCTCGCGCTTCATCAGTGGAGTATATTTTACAGTGTAACCACATTGTTCTTTGCCATAAATGATGTATGTGGTGCTATACAAATATCATTATTACTAGGAGTGATTTTCTGGGATTTAACAACAGCTCATTTAAATAAGGCCGTCTCGGGAAGAGGGCAGCAATGGGTTACTGATCCGAAGGCCAGGCCACGGAGTCACAGTCACCGGTGTGTCACCAAGGATTTCTGATCCTCTGTCAGCCATCCGTACATATTTGTGCATATTTACTTTGGTTTTTATGTCAAATAAATCAGACTGCATTGAACGGTGATACCAGGTATACGTAATATACGTATGTTATGAAGTTCCAGACCATGTTAATTACTATTAGCAAGTAAATCTGTTGAACAAATGGTTTAATAAACAAATGGTTTAATAAAATAATCCTAATCATAGTCAAATGTAGAAAAACAATTACGGTAGCTCCCCGCGTTATCCTATTTTTCTTGATCATGTGTTCTCTCAAGGTGGCATCCATTAATATTTATGCGTAGGAGTTGTGAAATTACCCAGCAGTGCAACAGTTTCAAATAGCATCTTTCCAGCAGATCAAATCTGCTTTCAAACTAATACACTGAATTTTTAAAGTGGTTTAAGTTTTTGAAAAAGGAAATGGTAGTCTGGTAAAAAATAAGTGTAATTAGCTTTGCAAATTTTAAAGTTCTTTGTGCCAGTGGCAGTTTCAGTATTTTGCATATGACTGTAGAGGGCTCAGAGATCTGCAATTCATGTGAGATGAATGGACAGACCCACAATTTTAACATAAAATAGCAAGAGTCAGTAAGAAAATGATGTGATCCGGAACGGAGTTATCTTCTCATCAGCTGCAGATAATAAGGTTTTATTTTTAGTCCTTCCGATCACTTCAGCGCTGTTGAAATGACCTTTCAGACCATTTTATTCATACTTTGCATTAAGACTTAACAGGGAATTCACCAAAATGCAAAGTCTTGGTGGTAACAAGGGCGCGGTTTGTCTCTGCACTGATGTTCCCGTCAGAAGGTGCACACCCTCTGGGGTCTCTGTCCCCTGGGTCCTGGGTGTGGGCTGGCATCTGCGGCCCAGCTTAGGGTGGGGCTGCAGTGATGCCCGTGGAAGCCAGAGCCCTGGACTGGGCCGTTCATCGAGGTTCGTGTGTGCTGTGCCACCTGCTGTTACTTCCTGTTATGCTTTGTGTCTGGATGTCCCATAAAGCCTCATGTAGTCAGGGGCAGCTTCTAGAGTTTATGATTGATTTATGGGTGTGAGTGCTACACTCGCCCTGGGGCGCGTAGTTTGCATACAGTGTAAGGGAGAGAGAGAGGCTGCTTGCCGCCACTCCTCCCTTTTGCTCTTGTTGCTTTGCTGTTTTTAGCGGCCAGGAGTGGTTGCCTTCTGCCAAGTGCCACTCTGCCTTGGAGCCAGCCGAGAATGGACTGAAACCTCCATAAACTGTGAGCTAAATAAACCTTTCCTTCCTTAATTCTAGGCGTTGGGTATTTTGTCTCAGCAAGGAGAGAAAAGTAACCAAGACAGCCCCCCTGCCATGTGCCACTGTGCCTTGGAGACAGCTGACTATGGACTGAAACCTCTACAAACAGTGAGCTAAATAAACCTCTCCTTCCTTCATTTTGTGCGTCAGGTAATTTGTCCCAGCAACGAGAGAAGAGTAACTAGGATGCTTCTGCTCTGGAGCCATCGGGTGCACCCTTGGATCCCACAGTGCTCGGCACACACTTGGGGGCCGCTCCCTCCGTGCTGCTCCGTGCTGTCTGGCCTTCACGGCTGTGGGAGAAACCTCAGTTCTGTCTAAACCCGCTTTTCAAGACAGGTGCACAAAGTCCAGGAAGACAGTAAAGGGAGAAATGTCAGAGATCCAGGCTCCAAAACAACAGTTGGCCAGTGCTGCCCACCTGCCTTTCGTTTCCTGATGAACCCAGGACCTTCACGCTTTCACACTGGGCTACCTCTCCAGCCCTTTTCCATTGTTTTACTTTTTACCTTGAGGGAAGGTCTCACTAAGTTGCTGAATTGTGCAGTCTGGGCTGGAACTTGTGATCCTCCTGCCTCAGCCTAATCTCCTCAATTAACCACCAGTAGCACTAGACCCTGTGAGAACTCTGAATGACAGCTCTGTCCTGCAGATGGATGATGGTTATTCAGTTCTTCCTGAGGAAGGAGGTGATACAGATGATAGAACACTAAAGTCGTAGATGCCTATCTCACTGCGTGATTATGCAAGTGATGCTCCCCACTGCAGTGCAGGGAGGAGAGGGTACCCAGGGTGCTAACTGGGCCACAACAGGCCCGGGATGGTCCCCTCTGCCAGCAGCAGGTCACACCCAGCAAAGCTAGCGGATGCTTTATCTTCTTTGTTCTCACAGGAGCCACAGACCAAGTGCCAACATTCTTCGCTTCCTACAGATGCCACATCTAAAAACTGGAGCAGCTCAACGGGCGGCCAGCGTCACATCGTGTGGGAAGTACAACCAGGGTCATGTGTGTCTGGAACTCCTCCCCTTAGCTATGTCCTAGTGGGTTAAACAGGGTAGCTGTGGCCGAGTTCCTACCCGAATGCTGTGGAGCTGAGGGCTCCTATGTATAGTAGGCTCCAAGCTGGGGAACTCTGAAGTGCTCATTATTAAAGGCTGGGCCGAAACGTCCACGCGTTCATTGCCTGCTGGGATGAGAGTCGAAGTTTTCTGTGCTGTGCTTTCTGACTTAGCGCTTTTCACAGAAGTCACTGGATTTCCATGCAGTGCTCCTTCTGCCTTTGTTCACGTACGAAAGAAAGTATGTACTCTGATGTGCTCTAAAAGTGACCGTGCTGGCAGCCGCAGTGCAGAGTTAAAGTCCTTAGAGCAGGCTGAGAGAGCGCAGGCACCCACCCGCCCCTCTAGGAGAGGGAGAGGGCGGCAAGAGCCGCATTAGCGCCTGGCTTCTTGGGGCCCCAGCCCCCGCACGCTCCTTACCTTCAGTTTGGATAACTGTCCAAGGTCTTTCGCTGTGATGAAAATCATCTGAGGGCCCTAGAAACATACAGAGACAGAGAAAAGGAAGATCAGTCCCACAGCTGCAGTTTTGGTCACAGCAAAAGTAGTCACTGGAGGGTTTTCTTTGTTTACTGTGTGGTGTTTGTGGCTTTTATGTCCCACGTCTTTCTCTGTCCACTTCAAAGAACGGGGCAGAGGCACCTGTAAGGCGGTCAGCGCGATGGTCCCACTCCCGCTCCAAGTCCTAGCTGTGGGTCTGCAATGACCGAGCCATGCTGGCCAGGTTGACTGGCACATGCTCACACCCCTACTGTGTTCTTTCAGCAGAGGCAGCTCTCTTAGTCCTCTCCCCCCAGAATAAATGTGCAAAACTGTTCAGCTGCGGGGCTGTAGAAAGAGCGACTCTTCCTGGAATGTGGTGCAGTTGCTCAGCGGCCGCCTGTCCTCTCACTCTGTCCCTTGGCTGAGCGCTTCCTCCACGGCCACAGGAAGATAGCGGATGCGCCCTGCAAGCCTTCCCGTAACACCAGGACGAGGCTGGTCCACCAACCATGGCCACATTCAGCAGCTTGGAATATTTCCCAAGTAAAGGAAATCAAGGTAATATTCTCTTTTTATTGAAGAGTATGTAGTCAGTAGGGAATCAGGGACTACCAGGCTTCTGAGAACAGTGACCATGGCTGATTTTGCTCATATTTTATCCTCAGCAACCAGCACAGTGCCTAGAACACATAAGAAGCTCAGATAATATTCACTCAGCAAATGGATGAATGAAGGAATGAATGGATGATACAGGTTCACATGCACAGATGTCGATGGTTGGGGAAAGGCAGGTGATAAGCTGCTGTAGGGAAGCCTTATACAAGAATGAAATGTTACAGAGAGGCTTTGTGTGGTTATGTAATTAATGCACTTAAAACTTTACACATATTTATGTGGTGTACTTAAAAGACTCATATTCTGCAAATGGTACACTAAATAGCATAAAGTTTATGGGGGAAATAGCAGCGGACAAGGCCATCAAAGACCAGGATAATTTTCTACTGAAGTACTATCAAAAATAGCAACTGCTACTTCAAGAGGCTGCGTGGACAGTGGGGGGGAAGGGTTGGCACAGCCAATGGTGCCCAGGATGTTAAAGGTGAAACCAACCAACCCAACAGCACAGCAGCGGGGTGCAGGGGCAGGGTGAGGCAATGCGCTGGTGGGGGAGTCAGAGCACAGTGGGGTGAGGTGCACAGGGGTGGCCTGGCCAGGTGTGGCTTCCAGAGAGGGAGCTGTGAAGCCCCTGCCCTGTCCCTTGACAAGCTCTGTGCACAGCGAGCCTGAGAACACACTCCTATCCTGCTGACGTCACAGTTCTGCTGTGTCCCGGGAGCTCTGACGGGGCGCACTGCCAGGGAAACCTACCCGGCTTCCAGACGGCACCAACACCCTTCCCCCTGAGCCGTGGCCCGGGAGCCAGCTGGAGGTACAGTCACGCCTCACAACAGAGCGAGGCTGTGTGCGGCGGTGTGTCCATGGGGCTGCCCTCCCACAGGTGGCGACCGTAACTGATTAACCACACATTCGTGGCACTCAGTAAAATGCAAAGTATTCTGTATTTTATCACTCTCTGGCAGTAAATGAAGACAAACAGTCCTTTTTGTATTTTGGTACACTATGAAATACTTTTGTCTGTGTAATTCCGCTGGATAAAGATGGACTGGTATGCACGATTAATGCTGGCAACATGTATTTTAGCTTATAATTACTCGGGATTCGCATCAATTTCTCCTCCTTAGTCACAGAAGAACACACTTCTTCCTTAACAAGCACTTGCTGGGTTACTGTCTGCTTGCTGGTGTGGATGGTGACTGCAAGCCCCCGGCCCTGTGCAGCCTTTGACCACTGTCCAGCTCTCTGCCTCCTGATCTTCTTGGTTCTTGTGTATTTCCCTGCTTGTGAGGCCACCACATCCTCCAGATCCACTGAGCGTTCCTCCTCTAGCCACCTCTAGGTGGGGTAGTAACGGAGAAGCAGAATGGGAAGGGGAGAGGTCCCAGAGAGCCGCGCTGGAACTACCTGTGAGGCTACAACGCTTCAGCGAGAATCATGGCACCTGCCTCCTCCCTAAACCTACTTCCCTGCGGTTCACAGTAACATGTACAGTAGCATGTGTAGAGCAGACACCCTTACAAAATGGACTTTGATTCATTTTTCAAAGACAAACAAATGACAGCCAGTGTGAAGTGTGACTGCTGTTCACACTGCTAAAACTTGACTAGGAAAGAAAAATGTGATTTGATCAAGCATTTGCTAGGAAACTGTATACCAAAGACCCCCTAAATGAGTTTAGTACTTCAGCTGTAGCAAAAGCCTTCACTTAAACAAGAGGCAGCTACCTAGGTTATTGAAAGTGAACAATATTTTAAATACTTACTGTTTGATCTGTCAGAGGAGGGAGGACAATCTGCTTTTCGATTTTGTTGAGCACCAGCTTCCACAGCTCTTTCAGAACTCGTTTCAGCACGGTCTTCTCACAGACTTTGGCTGAGAGACTTAGTCTGAAACAGGACAGGCACTCGAGTTCAAGTTTCATCAGTGTGCTTCACTGCCCCTTAAATTCACATTAACTACCGAGATTCAAAGAGCTGAACAGGTCTTCATAATTTAAAAACGCTAAGTTCCATTTACTGCAAAGGATACATACTATCAAAAGCAGTTACTAATTCTACACATTAGATAATTCACTATACTTGGCAGAAGAGGAAATCTGAGCATTTATTTTCTTAAACTGGTGCCTAAGTTGACAGGAATGTCAAGTCAGAAGGAAAAACATTTAAAACATACAGAGTAAATGTACAATTGAAGGAAAGGACCGCTCTTTATTCACACATAAAGTCTACTCTGCCATGAGCAGTTTCTGCACACCGCCCCAGGCTCTGGCTCGGGGGTTTCTGAGAAACGCGACAGAACTACTATTCCCACGCACCTGACAGGGCAGTGAGCAGACCCCTCGTTGTGATAAAGTCAAGGCTCCCAGCACAGGAGTTCCACCCTCACCCCGATGTGGCTGTGGCACATGCCCATGTTTATGGTCTAGACTGAATATCCAAGAAATGCATCCTTATCACTACTGGGCACTAAGCTAACAACGTGACAGAGGTGTATGTCTTTGTAAACAAGAACCAAAATTCACCAGGCTCAATAGGTATAGACCCTATGACAAGCTTTTCTCGTGCTGAAATAATGATGCTATATCACCTATCATTTGTATGACACCGGGTACAACCTCTTTTGCACCAATGTCTTGTGTTATTATACCCACTTTAGAAACAGAAAATAGACTCAGAGAAGTTACAGCCTTTGTCTGAGGAAGTGTGTGTCAGCCGGGCTTCCTGATGCTGGACACAATACCTGACATCTGCCTTAAAGGAGCAGAGGTTTAATTCGGCTCATGTCTTAAGACGATTCAGTCCATGGTAAGCTGGCCCCAGGGGAGAAGGGCATGGTGGAGCAAAGCTGCTGAGTTCACAATGGCCAAAGCAGAGCCAGAGAGGAGGGGTGAGGGGCCAGACATTGACCCCAAAGCCACACCTCTATGGCACACCCAGAAGGGTGCTCCTCCAACCCTCTGGGCGGATCCTGAAGCCAGTCAAGGTGACCCTTGACCCTAACCACCACTAGTAGAACTAGAGAGTGAGAGTCAAAGCCGGGGTACGTTTTTCTACCCCTATCCAGAATGCCTTCCGCATCCCTGCAGCCACAGTGAGCACGCCTGCACACGAAGGCCTGGTGTGTGGAGGTACTGGGCTGTGGAACACCTGTGAGGTACATTTCAGTGACCCCGGGCTCCTTGAGGCTCCCTCAGGAGAGGAGTTTCGCCTGCTTCACGGAGGGACGAAGTGGGCCAGTGTAATGTGCACGTCCGAAAGGTCTGTGTGCAAGAACTGATCTTATTTTTGTGGTTGGCTCATGCATACAGCATGCTGGGCTACCCTGCATAGATGGACAATGCACGGAATAAACCAGGGGTACGGCTGCCCCAGGGACATGTCTGCAGCCCTGCCCATCGCTGCCCCTGGGGATGGAGCATCCAGATCACTGCACAAAGTGCCCAGATCTTCGTGGAGGAGGTGAGACATCAAGAAAGGAGACGCGTTACTCAGGGAGGCTCACAAAAACCGCAAAACCAGGCATTCACAATGTAACACAGTTTTTCTGGGGATTTTCTCAGAACCACCTTGAAGACTTCCGGTCTCTTACTGTTTTTGTTTGTTTCTGTTTTGCTGCAGTACTGGAGATGGAACCCAGGGCATTCACCCTGAGCGCATCCCAGCCGTTGTGACTTCTGGAGACAAGACATCAACTTGCCCAGGCTGGGCCCCAAGTTGCATCCTCCTGCATCATCCTGCTGGAGTGCTGCTACTGCAGGCACATGCCATTGTGCCCAGCTCTCTTGCTGCTACTACTTCCTTGTGGGGATGAAGAATTCAGATGTTTCGTGTACACAGCAATTACCTCAGTGAATGTAATCATTATGCCTTGCAAACATGTAGTAATTAAAAAAAGGGCCTTATAGCCCTCCTTTTTTTATTATCTTGGCCCTTTAATAGTTAATATGCTGCAATAATAATTAATGAGATGACATATATAAATTACCCTATGACCCTGGCCCTCCATAGGCATTTGAAATTACTGCTTACTTTTCTGTCTTCAGTTCTGGCTCTGGGAAAAGGCTGAGCGCCCTGTATCTGGACCTCTGGGGCCAGAACTGTTCCAGACTTTGGAGTTCTCAGGTTTTGGAAGTTTTGCATGGGTTTCACCACTTGAGCATCCCTGAGGTTAAAACCTGAAATACTCCCAAATCTGACAGTTTTTGAGAGTCACGATTTTTACTAAATTAGAACTTCTGAAAGTAGAGACAGAGAGGAGACATAAGGGACAGGCCAGCCAGCCGCCAGCTCCCGCCTTGGGGCTGAGGACTCTGAGTGGGCTCCCAGCTCCCCAGCCCACCCACCCTCCAGCGTGCGATGTTCCTGCAGGGCCCGGGTTCGACTGGCCTGGCTCATTGCCACCCAGTGGCTGGGAGAGGGATGGGTGTCCAGGGCACTCGGGCACTCGGCTCTGAAGGCCGAGTCAGGGGGGATCTGCCTGCCCATCGGCTGAATTCAGTCAGTCACATTTCTGTGTTCTTCTTCAGCAGGTTCCTGACACAAAATCTGACCTCAATTCAATCTCCTCTTCTGTCCAGGAAAAGGTGAAACAATATGTTATCCGAGGAGCGTGGACCCCTGCATTTCTCTCCGCCTCCCGACAGAAGCCTCTGCAGCTCCCCGTGTCCTCCCTCCTCTTTCTCCTTCCTCTATGCAGTGATTCATGATTTTTCTCCATGCAGTAAAAAATCAAACACGGCTCTTTCTGGAATTCATTTGTTTCTATGACACTTCCTCTAAGGCTTCCTACACACAGGAAAGCAGTGTTTTCTTAAAGCCCTAGCAGACAAATGTAGGAATTTAGGGAAAAGTCAAGATCAAGTTGGGTAGAGAACTTACGTCTTGTCCAAGAAGTCCATGAGAGGCCTTAACACGATCTCTGCGTCCAGCACTGCGCTGTTCTTGTTGGATGTGGTGCTGCCGTCTGATCTCATTTGGTGCAGTTCAGAGCTCATCTGTTTTATACACTCTTCAATTACAAGCTGAAAGCTAAATGGGGAATATAAATTCTGGGATAAAAGAAACATTTTGCCAAGGTCTGTTTTAACTCTACCCGAGGAGCCTGGGTGTTTCACACACCGTAAATTCCTGTTTACCAGTTTCCAAATTCAGTGTTCAACTTGAGAAGCCTTTGTTGCAGTGAAAGCCTGCTTAGAACCTCTGTGTGCAAACTGGACAAAAGTGGTGGTTTCCAGGTTGAATCAACAGGGCGGGTGCCTTCAGCCAGCACCAGTATTAGCGCCTGTGCTTTCTGAACACTGTTTGGAAGACAGGCCGCTCTGTAGAGGTGCCCCGGGGTGGGGGGTCACAGCCCCGTCTGGTTTCTGTGTCTGCCTGTGTGGTCTCCCTCCAGCCTCACCGGCTGTGCTTCCTCTATCACCTGACCTCTGACCGCCATATTTGTCAAGGACACACACAGTAGGTGTCTCCTTAAGTCTGATTCAGTTAGTCCATATCTTTCAGGATAAGTATGTCCATGTAATATTTGGGACATAATTACACTAAAAAATTATTCGCTGCCTATGTGAAATGCAAATCCACATGCTCATTCACGCTGTCCCAGGTGCTGAAAATACATCAATAAATGGAGAAGGCTTGGCTTCCTGATTGCGCAGCAGAGATGAGAACTTATTATGAAATAGTCTAGTGAGGTTGTTTCCTTTTTGGCTTTACCTAGTAAGGGAAATTTTCAACAGCTTGTAAAGGATCACAGTTTGGGTGTTTGTTTTATTCCTAGCCCTGTAAAGGAGGCTTATAAACACATTGGTCCACAATTTGAGCCACATTTTCAAGGCCTGAAGCTGCATCCACCCTGTGCTTGGCCCATCCTCCTTCGGCTTTGGACTCCCCAAGGCTTTCTCGACCATCCCTGCCTCTTCAGACTTCCACTTGGATCTGGATCTCAGCTGGCCCGGAAATGCAGCACATTTCTTTGCTCTCTTTCTATTTATCTGGTCCAACAGAGCAACCTCTTCCAAGCCCTCATCCAGGGGGATCCAAACTCTGACCATTTGGCTGACTGGGCCAGACCAGTCTTTGGCCTTCCATCAGGCAGAGGCTGGAGGGAGAGAGTGATGGGGGGGGGGAGAGGCAGGGATGGGGTGGCCCTTGATGGAGGTGTACTGAATCGGGACTACGACAGTAGGTACTTGGAGTGAGAGAAAAGGAAGGCATAGAATGGTGGAAACTTCTAGCCAATTGATTCCCACAGGATCATCAATGATCCTGCTGGCTGCAGTAAGAATCACCTTGGAAATGACTTTCTTTTGCACCGATAGTCAAATCAAAACTCACTCCTCACTGGGGTGGGGAGTAGACTGAGCAGAGGGTCTGGAAATTATGCTTCAAATATGTGGAAGGTAGGTTCCTAAGCGGACCTGTGCTGTGGCTCCAGTATGAAGCCACACGCTAGGCGTGGGATCAAACATACAGGATGTATCCTCAGGGTCATCACAATGGAGTTCTACTTTTCATATGTTCAGGGTAAGCCAACATCTACATTTCACTGAAAAAGCCTTTATCTTTATGCAATTTTAGTAAATTTACCTAATAACCTTTCTTTTTCTATCCATTTTTTTGCTGAAGATATCTTTATTAGGTAGCTTGAATAAAAACAGCGCAGGAAATAACAACAGCCTCTGTGATCACCCAAGGAACAGAAGGGGCTCAGAACTCCTAGGAAATACCCTGAGTTCTTCGTTCACTGATCCAGCCTGCTGCTGGTGCTAACGGAATCAGTAAAGGAAACACAGCCACCTACAAAAGGAGAAACACTAACAGGAAATCTAAGTGATGCAGTTTGAAAATCTTAGGGCCATCTGGACGTGCATCTTTCCTATGCTGCCACCGTGAAATCTCTACCTCAGTTCCCAGGCAGGGGACCCATGAATGTCAGGACCCAGGGTCCTCGCTTCAAGTGTGGCTTGCTCTGCTCTGGCTTCCTGAAAAGCACTCCAACGGCTGCAGGCCTAGGACAATTTAATGTTAATGACACAAGTCAAACTGACTTTTGGAGCTCCTGATGCAGCTATTTTTAAAGCCAGCTGCTACTTCAGACATGCCTCGGGCAGCTGCAGACTAACTTTCTGGTTTAGCTTTGCAGCATGGTTGCAGGGATCCCTGCGGACTCCCGTGCACCCTGTGTGTGACGCTCCATAGCAACGAGGGGTCAGCAATTACTGCTGTCTAAGGAGTGTGACATGGGCCTGCTCGCTCCAATAACCCCAACTGAGCAAAGCGCCAGCTTCTTCCCATGTTTAGAGGATGAAGGACTGGATCCTGGTCACCGTGGGCATCAGTGCCCGGGCTCAAGCGCCTGCCTGGGACAAACAAAGCCCACAGTGCACCCAGAGCAGTACTCCTGACTTCAGAAATGAAGACATCCCAGTCCTTCCCAAAGTAGAACCTGCATTTTAACCTGCATAGCATGAAGATTCCTCCCTCAAACAAACCAAAGCAAAGAACATTTGCTTATTGGTGTGGTTCAGATATTTTACAGAAAGAGGTTTAAATACTCTATTCACATTCCAGTTTCCACTCTGAATGCTCCTCTTATTTCCCACACAGTGATGAACATTTCTAGCTCTTCCTGGCCCCTTCTCCTTCTCCACCCTAACTTTGCCAGAGGAGCTCTGTTCATACTGAGGTCAATCTTTCCGCCAACTGTGCTGAATTCACAACGAGAGAGAGAGAAAAGCCGGACACGGCTCGCCCACGGTGCACCTCTGAGCGCTTCCTTGGCACAGCCAGTGAGCCCCGTGTCCCGGGAGCAGCCTCTGCGACCCACCCTGATGGAGACAGAACCCTGGTGTTGGTGACAGGAGCTGGGCTGAGGCCACAGACCCTGTGGACCATGGGGCTGCTGTGCTGTGGGGTGGGTCCCAGGGAAGACACCCCTGGGCTCCAGGGTGGGGACACAGCGGATGACCACTAACTGCTGTCAGGAAGGTTGAGTGTGGCGTCCCCTCACTCTGCTGCATCCTTACATCTGCGAACAGTGCAGTGCTTGCGGTGTCTTCCCTTTCTGGTCTTTCTGATGAAGACAAGGCATCAGGAAGCAGCCACCAATGCCTCTCAGTTGCGTCTTTCAAAAGACACAATAGGTGTTCAAACTCTCGTCACTCTAACAGAAAGGTTCCTAGTCTCCTTGGAGAACAAGACACATCGCTTAAACTGATAAGGCAGCCTCTGTTGAATTCATTCTTGAGGCAATTCTATATTAAATTAATGAGCCTCTTCAAAGATGTATTTGGTCTGCAGTCTAACATTTGATAATGAGACGGTTCCTTTCTACGACAGGACCAAAATGAAGTTTACCAAAGGCGGACTTCTGTCTTTACAGCCATGCCGTAAACAAGCTAAGTTTATTTTTAGAAAAACATAAAAGAATGTAGGATTGTTCATGGATTCCACATTCCTGGCTATGGATGGGAGTAATCAGTGCCCCAGTCCTAACACCAAGGTTCCGGGCTTAGTGTGGTGCAGGCTGGAGGCACTGCTAGCCCAAGTGCGGTGGCGTGGGAGGGCTGTGGACGGAGCCTTGCGCTCACCAGTGCGGAGTTCTCCCCTCTCCGCTCTCCCCAGAGCACTGCCCGCCCTCCAGCCTGGAGCTGACGCGCATGTGATGTCTGACCACAGCAGAGTGAGGCGGGGAAGCAGACAGGTGAGTGAGAACTGGAGCAGCCTGTGGGGAGTGCCCCGCGAGAAGGGGCCTCGCCGTGAGGTCGTGGGGTCACCGTGTACTTTTCAGAGAATGCAGAGACCTGATCTTGGGGTCGAGTGGATTCGGCCCATTCGAGGAGCGGCTCTACAAACCCAAACCACCCCGCAGCCACTTACCTTTCGCCGTAGGTGACGCTGAGCCCGTCCAGTACCCCGCTGAGTTTAACCTGAAGCTCTTTCAGGACAGTGCTGGCTTCGGGATCTAGCTGCAGAGAGACAGCAAACATGACTTTGGAGCACTGAGAAGCACACCTTCCTCTCTCTCGGAGGCCTTTTGCTTGTTATACGGTACCTTGAGACAGCCACATGTCTACACGTGTACTTTTCTCTCATTTTGTCTTGGAAACCAAATGCAAGAGTTCAGGAAATCGTGGAGGAGCTGCAGGGCTCTTCCACGTGAACACTGGCTTGCACGCCATGCTTACAAGCAAGAGCCAGCGAGCAAAGCTTTCATGGTTTACGGCCAGCGGGTGCGAGGCAGGACAGAGTCTCCCTCCCGAACGCAAAGACTGCAAAATCTAGAAAACCCTGGGCCATACTCTAGTAAAATACAGGCACTGTTTCAGCGTATATTTCAGTCTTAATATTCCTGTCAACAAATAGTCCCACTAAAATAAAAATTCAGTTGAAAATCGACTTTCGAGAACAAGTGGAGTATCCCTAGTCCAAAGTGCGGGAGACGAGGAGTGCTTCGGATTCCAGCTCTCAGGTTTGGGAATACACGTCCAGACTCCACAGGTTTAGCGTTTGTCTACCAAAACTCAGAAACCTCAAATGTCCCCAAGCCCCAAACTTTCCGAGCACTAACTCAAAAATTTTGATATTGAAGCACTATAGATTTTTGATTTTTGCATTAAGGGAGCTAAGCCTGTATTGTGTTGTAGTTTGTTTGAAAGTACCTTTGTACTTTTCCAACTTTAAAGTGTTAAGTGAGGATAAACAAACCATCCACGCATGTCCACACACGTCTAAACACGGTAGGCTGCACCTCTCTTCTGGGATGTCACGGTAACTCAGTTCGAGATGCAGAGTTGAACTTTTAATTTTAATTTTATTTTAATAATTCAATTATTTATAGCTTGAAACTAAGCTTGTGAATGAATTCAGGTGCAGAAGAAAAATATTTTTTTTTTTTGTCTTTTTGAGACAGGGTCTCAACACACAGTTCAGGCCAGCCTTGAGCTCACTTTGTAGCCTAGGGTGGTCTCAAATTCACAACGATCCTCCTGCCTCAGCCTCCTGAGTACTGGAATTATAGGGGTGCGCTACCATGAGCAGCCTAAGAAAAATAATTAGACCAAGATAACTTATTTGTGATGCTTCTTGTTACAGTGAAAACATCAGAGGTCAAGTTTGTAAAATCTAATTTGTTCTTAGAGTAGTGTTAGTAAAGATTACAAAATAACTTGTAGACACAAGCAACAAATAGACACACCAAAATTTACTTTTGTAATTAAAGGAAAAGATCTATATACACTTTACCAGGCATTTTTGAAATTTTTTTCCAGTTTATTGATTGTGTTTTTGTGAAATAATTGTTTTTGGTTTTTTGGCGAAAACAAAACAGAACCTTATAATAGATGAATTAAATCAGTCCATGTAAAAGGAAACAGGACTGTTCTCTGAGATTGAAATCTTCCTTCCTGAGCCGGCAGAAATCCCACTTGCTACCATCAACGTCTGCAGTTCCTGCCTAGCAGGTCTGCTCCTGCAAAGAAGAGGATGGGACAAGCTGATCTGGGGCGACAGTATCACTGACTACAGGGAATCATTTGGAGGATCTCAGACAGATGTAGCGCTCAGTCTAGCTGTTTAGATCCTGAAATTCTGTCTTAGTTACTTTCTCACTGTCAAAATACCCAATACCCAAAGTTAAAGAAGGAAAGGTTTATTTAGCTCACAGTTTGTAGGGGTTTCAGACCATAGTTGGCTGGCTCCAAGGCAGGGCAGCAGAGCAGGGTGGCATGGCAGAGAGGCATGGCAGAGGGGCAGGGCAGAAACAGTCCATGGCGAGGCAGGCAGACAAAAGCAGCAAGCAGCAACCCTCCCTTTCCCTTTGTGTCCCATCCGGGGTGCAAGCCACCCAGCCCCTGGGTGGGTCTTCCCTTTAGTCTTCAGTAAATCCACCCAGCCAAACCCAGAACTGCACTAATCAAACCAGGGGCTAATCCAGTCATCACACTCATAACCCAGTGTCACACCCAGGATCCACTCATCAGAAAAGCCCCAGTATGAGCACACAGGGCTTTGGAGGGACATCCAGACACAGCCCGTAACAACGCCCTAGCCTTTCGCAGAGAGAACATGTCGATGGCCTGTTCCAAAGGTAGGGCACCCTACAGAATGCTTAGTATTGTATTTTCTTTTTATTGCTCGAAGACCAGCTGTAAGTTGACTTCACTCGGATGAGAAGGCCAAGGACAGTGAATGCCTGGGTCACCACTCTCCATGGACCTAGGAAGTCCCCTGCCCAGAGGGTCCCCTCCAATGAAAGAGCTGAGAGCAGAGGTGGGCTTGTCCACTTGTCAAGATAATGACTTTAAAATTGCAGTCCAACCTTGGACTGTGGTCTGAGAGTGTGCTGTAAGATGAGCAAACACTTCTAAGAAAATTTAACGTGATAAATGAGTGATGTCATGTGGTGTCAAAAGGACATCATGGTGAAGGTCACATGACCACAACCGGTTCCTCCCTCTCTCTGCTTTGATGTTCAAGGGCTTTGGATTCCCAGTGGGATGAATTATTCTTGCAAACCATGAAAATGGTTACACAGGTCACTTGGGTGAAGCTATTTCCTCACACTAGTACTTTAGTCTACCTTAAGTGTCTACTGATTAGACATTTCTTATCACATAATTGGCTATTACTTGAAAGTCAGAAGCTGTCAAACTACAGCATTTAAGCACTGGGTGACAGCTTTAAGTTTTTGATAGATGTGTGTTTCTAAGTCGATACAAACAAATTTTCTGTCATGTAACTAGGGCAGTGGGGAAACAGGTAGAAAGAGGAAGTTTTTTGGTTTAAGTTTGTGTGTGATCCAAATAATACCACTAACACAACCACAGCAATCGAGGCCAGTATGGGTGGCTCCCGCAGACTGCAGGGCCTCTGCAATAACGAGGGTGATGGCGTAAACACCATGTTACCCAGCTACAACACAGCCCGTCCTTGTGTTCTTCTGGGTTTGTCTGTTCCCAAGTGGAGGATATTGCCTTAGGTCTCAAATTTTCTAAAGTTTTAAGAAATAATATATTGGGATTTGAGAGTTCACTCCATAAACTGTCAACAGCATATTTTAAAAATTACCATCTAATTGGGAAAGGTAAAAGGCTACTTAACCTTACTTCATAAATTTTTAATACTTGGTTACAGAAGTAGTATAATATAAAAATAAACTCAAACTTCTATATTGTTATTCATTTTTAGTAAGAAAAAAGAAAAATTTTGAAGCATCCAAAATTCATAAGTTAATAAGTTTATTCTAAATCGGAAACTGAATTGCCACGTGGACCTGTACAAGTTACTTGGATGGCTAAATAAAGGCTCCATGAGCAGAGGGATGTGTCCAAGGAAATTCAAGGGTACTGAGTCATTTTAGGAACTTATGTGAAAGCCACTAACACAGATTTCATCCACACTCTACGAAGGGCTCTGGAACTCTAAAATCTAGCCTGACAGAGTGTAGTTTTAATGAGCAAATAAGCCATATGGCCACATACAGGTAATAATCAAGTTTTACACCATGAGACATGGTGCTACAAATAATTTGCCTGGAGAGATAGCAAGCAGGCCAGGTGTCCTGTAAGTCTTTTCTCTTTCCTAAGGCTCATTTTTACGTTTTCTTTAAAACACAATTCATTTATTATCTCCTTTCGCAAAGCTCCCCAGTGTCCCTCGCCCAAGGCAGGGGGTGCCTCTCCCACCATGGCTCTCTTAGGACAGTTTTCTTGCAAACCGCTTTCCCTCAGGACTTTCCTTGCCCGCCCGCCTGCCTGCATTTCTGTCCCAGCGCCTGCACTCCCAGGCACTCCCCAGAGCGGAAGGAAGGCTGCCCGCCAGGAGAGGTGTGAAAAGAGTCACGCTATCCGGACAGGGGCGACTTCTGGGCTGACCCCGTGTGTGACTATCGCCGGGAAACCTCTGCTTCTGAGAGGGTTGGTGGCCTCGTCTGTCCTGCTCTCCTTGATTCACACTGCTTACTTGCACGTGCTTATTTCCAGATTCCGCCTGCTGCCCGTTTCCTGTCTCTGTTGGCTTTAAATCTTCTGTCCATCCCTTAAACTTCAGAGTCCGTCGATTGTTCGTTTCAGGCCTTCTTGCTCCCTACGCTCACCCTGAGCCGTCAGCGGTCCCCAGGGCTTTACACCCCCAGGAGTGACCCTTCATCTGCTCTCCACGCGGAACCGCAGTCTGGGCATTGCGTCTTGGTCTCCAGGGCCGACTGGGCCCTTCCATTGGGGGTCCCCATAGCTGAGCCACAGTGGAGCGGGAATGGCACTTACTACCCAGCCACCCTCACGCACTTCTCTTCCTGATTTCCATACCTGGGTTGGTGACACACCACCATCTAGGCAGGAACATGAATGTCATCTCTGACCTCTGCCTTCTTCCGCCCCCATCTCCCAGACACCGGGTGTGGGTCCTCATTTCCCGGCCTGTGTTCTCCACCCGCCCCACCCTTGTCACTTTGTGACTCCTGTTTTTCACATTGCGTTATCACGATCATCTCCAGGTTGTGTGCTCATTTTCCGTTCCCCTTTCCATCCGCCTCATCTTTGTTCCCAGGGTCTTTTAACAAATCCGCGTCCAATCTCTGTACCTTCTGACCCCTCAAGCTGGCTTTCAACCAGGGAAGTGCTTCAAGCAATTTCACACAAGCTTATCTGAGCTCTTTCGATTTCTTTTATTTTCAAAAGATCAATTCTCTCCAACCCTTCCACTTATCAGAACCGATTTATCTTGTAAGACCTAGTTTAACTTAAAATATGTGATTGAAGGACAGGTGAAAATTCCCTGGTGAACGCAGCAGTGGGATACTGACCCTGAAGTGTCCTAAATCACTTTATAGAACTCTAGCCTCTCTCAGGAGATGTGGTGTGTTGTCAGAAATAGAATATGTGGTCCTCTCGGGTGCAGGCCAATGTTTTGTTTGTTAAAATTCCTCCTTGGAGAGACCATCTTCAGGAACATGACCATTTTCAGTGAC